AAAGAGTAGGCTTATTAGGGAAAAGGACAGGAGTATAGACACTTGCATAGGCACAAGCTGGCAGGGAAAGATGCTCCGGAAGGGACAGGTTTGCAGAGAGAGGCCTCTTAAGAGAGCTTAAGAGAGCAGCTTCCGTTGAGGGAGGTCAGTGCAGAGAAGTCCTGGCATGGTACAGGTCACGGTCACGCAGGAGGCTGCTGCCCTGCTGAGGGAGAGAGTGCGTGGCAAGAAGCACCTGTGTAGTAGGCACAGGTGGGCATAGGACTGCTGTCCGGAGCTGGTGCAGAAACTGCAGTCACATAAACATCTCTGAGAGGGGCTCACTCCCTATGAGCCTAGGCTTGTTGATTTTTAATAGAACCTGAAAGGGACTCGAGATACCACAATGGGCTCAATATATCTTTATCTTTTCACCTTTTGGGTCTGTGATAGACACCGCCCTCTGCAGTTTGCTACCCACTTGGGTTTTCCTCTCTGTAATCCGGGCATTAGCGCCTGAGGATCTTGATATCTATGGCTGTGTCAATGGCCATGCTAATCCCTTCTGCCCAATTCCCTGTGTGAGTCAGTCTTGTGATGCCTCCTTTCTGTTCTTTCCTCCATCAGGAACTCTATCAAACATACACAGACCTTTCATCCTTCAAGTATTTGCAAAGAAACCAATAACCATACAGTCACACATCATGCAAAGGGATCTTTTTACCTCAATGGTCAAAGTCTCTTGTAAGTTGTGGGTAAGAATAAACAGCTGAACATTTCACAAGAAAATGACCTCAACCTCTAGCCAACTGCCCATTGGAGAGGTAGTGACTTTTATTTCCTATTCAAAGGGAAGCTGCTGCTTCAGCATCTTCTCCTCCAGCCCCTGGCATACTGTCAGGCCTGTGTCAGGGGAACCCTTGATCGCATCACAATGACGGAAGCCAAGTGCTGGCCTGCAGGAATGAGGACTGTTTGTTCACAGCAGGTCCTGAGCAGAACAGTGGTGTTACAGAGTTCAAGGGTGCCTTGAAGAAAACTGATGCCACTGTAGGAGAGGACTTCCAAAGGCTCAAGTTATTTCTCAGTGACTGTTGTTCTGTTACCCTCACCTTGCTTTTATGGAATTGAGCCAACAGTTCTTGCTTCGGTGTTTTTTCCTCCTGCAATTCCTTGACTACAGCAAAACTAGACAGTTAAATAGAAGGGTTTTCATGTATTTTCAAGTCGTGTCACAGTGAAGTCTATGCTCTGGGTAGAAAAGTATTTAGTTAATGAATGTAGTATGTGTTTTGGTAAAATCTGAAATTAAACCAGCTCACTGTTTTTGTCCTGCTTGCTACGGATGGCATTTAGGTGTGTTTTTTGGTGTGGTGACTCAATTTCCTGTAGTATGACTGGCAACTCCACATTGAGGCTTTTTTAGTAGGGATTAAAAGGTCAGCTACTGAATATTTGAGAACATTTGGGGTTAAAATTCCTAAAAGTTAAGATTTAATAATGATCCTGAAAAGCCGGTGGCTGGCCGTGCTGCCTATAAACCCAGGAATTTGGAAAGTAATATTCTCAGCTTTTTTATATTAATAACAGTAAGTATTTGAGTTAGAGGTTTATAAAACAAACATTTTTACTCTGTTGCTAGTAATTTTTACTGATCTGTGCATGTGCTATTGTCTTTCTTTCACATCATCTAGATTTATACCGTGAATGCAAGAATATGTTAGAATTTAAAATACATGTACATACCACATTATGATGGTATCCAAGTACTGACTGTCGAAATGACTAATCCATGTTTTTGACATAAAGTGATATTCTGAAATAAGTTGACCCTTTGGCAGTATTGCCTTCTTACGCAAGTCTGTATTTGAGTGCATAATGTCTTGAGATACTGAAACTTTCATGAATTATATTTCCACTATTACGGTTAAAAAAACAATACTGAGGCCCTCCCTGGTGGTGCAGCAGGTTAAAGCACAGCACTGAAAAGCCAAAGCCACTTCCGCGTGAGTTTCATCCCTGCCTGCCCTGGAGGTAACCCACATGGTGTGGCAGACCCTCCTGACCCGCCCACTGCTCCCCTCATCGATCTGCCTATTCTGCTCCCCACTCTGTCTGGTGAATCCTCTTACTGCTCCTGCACCTCTGGCCTGTACCCCAGTTCTGTATGCACAAATAAATAAATCTTAAAAAAAAAAATACTGAAATATATCAGGGAGTACAACATCTTACAAGGTTGTAGGCTCATATTTCTGAAAACTTTTGAGAAGTTGGGGAACATGGGGAGGGACCATTAGGAGGACCCTTGAGGCTCAGACTTTGGAAGAGCTGGAATGAAGTAAAGTAGAACATGGAAAGCCAAGCTCTAGAGATGTAGAGAGAGAATTTCTGGCTTCAGAATGTAGCTGGTAACTGGAAAGATGACCATGAACAAATTCTAGACACAGTGGTTATGAATCTTTGTTTAACCCACTAGATATACCAACTAAAGTGACCTAAATAAGTTCATTTCCTGTAAAACTTTCTACATCCCTGTTTTATATAGTAAGGGGAAGGAAAAAGTAAAAACAACAAAACCGTATGTAGCAGGTAATACCCATATAGATAGTATTAGATGTGTTATTACTACAACGAGGTAATGCTGTACTTGGATACGGAAGGTACTAATGAAATAATATATAAACGAACATGTGTTATGTTCAGAGGCTTAATTATTGTGTGGGATTCCACAGGACATTCTATATTATGTCTGTATAATGCTTCAATTTTTGTAACAAGCATGTGATTTTTTAAAATATTCTTATAATCAAAGAAGGGCTACATAGATAGAACATTTATTTAATATGAATACTACTTATATTTACCGTTAAGGTTATTCTGTTTAATAGAAGAATAAGTTCCAATCTTATGCTTTAATTCGCCTGTCAAGGTCTAGGTTATTTGTTCACATAAATTATATATTTACAGAGATTGTGTGGAAAAACAGAATTTAGAACATGAGAGGCAAATTTTAACCTAGAGTTCACAAAGTGAATAACAAACAACTCAAGAATCCTTGATAATAATGAACGACTGGCACATGTGATAAATACTTTGAAACTTATTCCGACTTTAACCACATTTTTATAAAATCTTATCTGGGAAATCCCAAGAACCTGAGAGTCAGACCATGAAATGCTTGGTTGTGTCACTGATCATGTAGAGAGTGAAGGGTACATATTCTTCACTACCTGTAGTTCCAACCAAAGGAAAGGGATCTCACCAATTTCTTGTAAGCTTTTCAGTGTATTATTTCTAATTGACAATAACAAGATGGACTCCGGAGTTTGGCTTTTCCCCTACTGAAAGGTTTGCTTATCCACATGCTAGTGCAGTGAAGCCCTCTGCACTGTAGCCATTTATGTAGAGTTCAGCTTTTGCAAATAGACCAGCTTCTTTATGATGCCGTCGGATATGGACTTTTCATTTTCTCACCTTTGTCATTCTGCGTGTAGTGGGTAGAAACAGTCCCAGACTGTTTATGGCAATAGCATCACAAGGCCATCCTGGACTTTAATTTGCAGTTCCACAGACGGAGGGAGCATGCATGCTGGACATGTGTAAACTACCCAGACCATGCGATGCCTTCTCGTGGCTATTCCTTTGCGATAGCTCTCAGACAATTCCCAGTGCGAAAATACTGCCGCGTGTCCAATCTATGAATTCTAAAACATTCCGGCCACGTATCAGTGTATATTTTTATTTATTTGTGTCCACCCCAAAATGTAGGCGTCTGTAACTTTGCAGGACTTGAGCTGGGTACTAAAGAGTCTGGTCTTAATAAAAATGCCTTTATTCCCACAGCCACCCTGCCCCTTGAAGACGGTAAAGCCTAACCCTCAAATATCAAAGCCTCAAATACCCTAAAACCCAAACCCACAGTAACGGTAGCTCCGGTCCTCAATAACCTTGTGTGTGCCGCCTGTCGAACAACCTTGCAGGAAGCAGCCAGGCGCGGAGATGCTGGGCCTCGGGCAGTCGGAACCACCCCGAGGGGCAGCGGCTCCGCGGCGCGCGCGGGATCCCTGCGGGGCAGGTGCGCGG